ATAGCATAATTGTAATCTCTACACTATTTTTGCTACCACTACTGTTGTGCTTATATAGGCCTACTTATTTCTGCTGTCATTCACATCTTCTTCTATTGCCATTTAGCACTGTATAGATCCTGGCTGGCTCACCAAAAATGTCAGGGTTTTAAGTATATGTTTAGGCATTAAGGATTCTTCTGCAGTAGGTGTCTGTGACTTGTTGGAGATAAATTCAAACAATAAACGGACAGCACACACTCCACTTGTTTTAAAATAATATATTCAAAACAAGATAAATGTATGTACAAAACTTCTTTACACTATCGATATCACAGTTGTATCTTAAACACTATACAGTTCTCTTCTTGTCAAAAGTCCACTTAGGCTGATTCAATTACTGTAGAATCCAGTTGACAAGCCAAACTATTTTTCTCTACTTTTAACATAATAGTATCAATGAATAATTCACTTACGCTACCTCTTGGGTTATCCCAGTTGTATCCTGAACTTCAGATAATTGTCTTCTTTCCGTCAATGTCCACACGGCTAGGTTCAATTAGTTTAGGACACCTTTTGACACGGCAAATTATTCTCCTTATCTCTATCAAACTGTTAAACTCACTTTGACATATCAACCATTAAGGCTATTCACTCATATGATGGCTAACTTCACATTTTCTATGGCTGAACATCCATTTCACTTGACTTTACTTTTACCCCCCTCACACTTGTGTTGTTGCCACTATTTATATGTTTATCACTGAGGCCTCTGGAAATTCCTATATCCTCAACATCAGTGAATTGTAAACACGATGTACAACTCTTACTGAGTTACATAACCAAACTTGTCATAACTGTTGCCTTTATAATAATTGCTTTTAACTCTCTTGTTATGAAAAACCAAACAATCATGATATATTAACTCGCAAAATAAATTAAATGATAATGCCTCCACTAAACAGTCTTGTAAATCTAACACTGAGGTTCTGGTTCAACACATTAAGGTACACTTCAGCCATCTCCTGTCATTTTGCAAGTCTGGAAGTCTTATATGCATGCTGTTTTGTATTAAACACCTACCACCAAAGCCGTTCTTTCTGATTTAGGGTTCATGACTTAGTTATACAAAATTATTTCCTTCATTTCACTCACATATTACTCTTTCAGTGAGACCTTAATTCTCGGTGGGAACTGATTTCAGATCTGTTGTCAGGCAGCAAGCCTATTTATTGAATCATTCTTGACAACAGTATCCTCATCCCCCCCCCCCCCCCAGAGCACAGATAGCCCATTGTGTAGCTTTATGCTTAACTTCAAACAAACAAACATTTTTCCTCATACTATAGACCGTCTTATTTTCACATATACTTTCCTCTTGACTCCAAATCACCATTTTTCTGGTTCTTGTACTCCTCAGGAAACAACAGCTTACATCAAAATGTTTGAACTTTGGGCTGTTTAGGGTGCCGGGCCTTGAGTTTATGCCACCTCTACACTATTTTTCTGCATTAGCTGACACACAATTCCACTATAGTACCTTAAATCTACAATTGGGGCAGTATTTATCCTTGCAGCCATTGCTTTACTGCACTTTCACTACTTTTGTGGCTTCATTCTCAGTTTGTTCTCCTTTGAGTTGTCACAGTCCTTGTAGGATGAAAATTTTGCGGACTATTTTTCTAGTTTGTTGGGTTCTTTTGTAGACCCTTTACCTTTTAGTTTTTCATTGGATATGTGAAAAGCTGTTGACCCAATGATCCCTTTGCAACATCAATTGACCATTTTGTTCCACTATTGGTTTCCAGTTTGAGATCCAAATCCTGTTGCAATGTATGCCCTAAGTCAATCTTGGGAGAACCACTTCCTTAATGCCTACCCTTCTCTCCACCTTCTTCCTTGAATAACTGAAGTTCAAGGTTCTCTAAATCAACCCATCTTGATCTGCTTAGTCTTGTTAAATGAACTTTTGGACTGTGAACCAGTCCCATTACAGCCATGGGAGCATTTTCTTCAGCATCCTCGACCGTATGGTTTTTCACAATCTGTGAAATTGTGTCTGGCTACTTTTCAATTCTTTATTGGAGAAGCTAATTTTCTTTCTAGATGCCTAATCATTATCCATTGTTCTTCCCTGACTGTCTATATCTTGTTGGGCTATTTTCCATATTTGATGCATTAAACATATCTTTTTTATCTTCAACTCCTCAACAGATTGCTTCTTTCCTATGTATTTTTTTCCTGACCATGAATTATCAGTTTCTTATGTAGCTGGTTACAGAGCAACCATATCTGCCAACTTTAAATGCTATGGAAGATATCAATCTCTTTGTTCATAGACCTTTTATGAGTCTTTTTTTCTTCAAAGACCCCAACTTCTTACACATTGCCCTAAAATATGACTTGGATTTATGCTTGGGCTTTTTGGCTTTTCCCTCTTTTGAACCCTCATTCTGTCATCTTTCCCTATAAAAATATTTTCTTTTATTACATGCTTGAAGCTTCGTTTACTTTATTTACTTGGAAGGCCTTTCTTTTATATTGAGATTGAGCCTTCCTACCTAGAACTTTGGCTACAAGAGAAGGTAAGCACTGTTTATCATTTATTGTTTTTTCCTGTTTTGACTAAATCTTATTCTTAGTCAGTGAAACATGTCCTATCAGGACTGTTTGTTATTATTAGAAGATCTTGGAAGTGGTACTGATACATTATGACAAATCAAACTCCTTAGAACTTGCTTTGGCTGTATTAACAACTTGGCTTGTGCATTTAATCCATCTTGTTTACTGTGATATTCCCAAACATCTTAAAAGTGGTTTTCAGGATACATTTCACTTAATTAGTAATTTGGTGGTGTACTTGGCATTCAAGTCAAAGTACCATTTAGAGGATATCCAACAGGGTGCATGTGGACAAATCCAAACACATTTTAAAATTCTATTTGCATCATGTTTCTGTTTTTTCAGCTTCAGGATTCTACTTGCTTCCAGTTATGATTCTTCAAGCCAGATGAAATCCTTAGTAGGTGATTTTTATTCTGCCACCCACTTAACTACTACTTGGGTTCACACCTTTGTTGCGCATGGTAACCCACATATCTCTGTACTACCCAATATAAATCTTAAAAATTACAGATGGGGCATTTGGTGTTGTGCAATCATTAGATTAGAAAAAAAAATTCTCCTTATAGTGTGAGTCTGTGTTTGACTAGGTTTTGTACAGTTGGAACTTCCATAGGTTATATATACCTCTGCATTTTTCCTAGACAAAGTTGCATTCTCTGCATTTATTCTTCTTAAGAGGGTCATGGCCTCTGGAAATGGACAGAGATCCCACCTATACATGCATTTCCTGGCATAGCAATCGAGACATTGGAGATGTTCATTTTCTATGTGCTGTCTTATAGCTCCTACTATATTAGAGGAGATACCTTACTACTTTGTTTTTTATCCTTTTTAAACTATTCAGTGTTCTTATTGCAATGGTTCTAGATCTGTAGAGCCTATCCTTGGGTCTGTCTGGGTATTATCGGTTCTCTTGAGTGTCCACTGACTAGACTATTATCATTACATGGTCATCCTTTTCTATTATTGAAATAGGGAGCCTTAGCCCTATAAATAGGTTCAGCTCATACTGGTATACTCCTCTAAGAATCTTGTACTACAGGTACAAGACAAAGCATTGTACTCTGACAATGACTAAATGTTATGCCACACCTGAGAATATGATGTCCCTTAAGTTTTTGATACACTACTTTGCCCCCCCCCCTTTTACTGCATTAATCAAAGGGTGCCTAGGGCAGTGAGGTACCATCTTGAGAAGAATGCCTTTTTTGTGAGTGTTCTAATTTGGTGCAGTCTGTTATGAGGCTGGTCTGCTCCACTTTTTTCTCTCATGGATCCAGTGTATTAACGTTTTCTTTGGTTGTGAATTCTCCTCAATCTTTTCTTGATCACATTTTTCAGTTGTTTTGGTCTAGGTTGTTACCTTCCTGCCTAAGACACCAAATATGGTAAACCAGTGGTTCTTATGACTCTTTCCAGTTTCCTCATCCATCTCTTTGTCAGTAATCTGGCTTTTTGTATTTCAGAGTTAAGTATTCCTGTTTTGAAATTTGAATTTTTAGAATTATAGTTAATTTCAAACAGATACCTCTGAAATACATTCCCAGACCATTTACCCATAATCTGTAGATATTTGAATTATGGGTTTATGGCAGGAAAACAGAGCTTATGTATGCTTTCCAGATGCAGGCACAATAAGTCACATGGAATGTGGGTAAGTTGTCACATGCTCTTCAATGTGTCAGGGGTATTCACATGGTTGTTGATGAGAGCAACTCAACAAGGAAAGGCATAGATGATAATGGGAGACATTTCCCCCACCCACCCAGGTTTGGCCTAATAGCAAGTGCCCCTTTGAATGCAGAATAGAGACGTGTGTAGCTATCATGGAAAGGCACTATTGAAGTTTTGAATTCAATGGCCAAGTTAACATAGCAAATAAGGTGCTTCCAAATTCAGATATGTTCCACAACCTTTAAGGAAGGGTGTTTTGTATTTCAGAAGTAAGTACCTGTTTGAAATTTATTTTAATTCTGAAAATTTAAAGATTTTAGTTGCTATTTTTTCACTCTTAGTGTTCCATTTAAGATAGCTTACATAGGTATTATTATTTCTGTAAAATTAATTCCAGGCTGAACATTTTTTTAAGTATAAGGGATTTACAAGTGTAAAAATGTATTAAAATATGCATAGTTCATTTAAACATTTAATTTGTTATTTAGGTTTTATTTTAGAAATGTACTGGTCTTTTTAGCATTGCTTAGGACACTTATTCAATATTTTGTGGACTTTTTTTTTAACTTCTCAAACTGTGTGAATATCCATGAAAAAGATTCTCTAAAGACCCACTTAGAGATGAAAAGCCAAACTAATTATACATTTAAGTTAAACATGTATAATGGAATGAATAATTTACCATTAATTAATAATTCTACAGAATATGTAATCTTTTCCAGGTTTGTGGGTTCACAGACATCAGCAGCAGCTCCTCTAGTACCTCTAGTACACCCCCATCACCTTACACTTCTGTAACTGCTACTTGGCCAAGTCAGCAAGATACACACCAAGCTGGACATACCACTCTTCCTCTAACGAAAAGTCATAGACCACATACTATATCAACAGGTAAGAATTAATACAATCAAACTGAGGCATTGGGACTTTTGTATTAGCAAGAGAAAATCAGTTCATAAATGTGGAAGTTGATTATGTCAGACTAAACTATATATTCATTTAAGAAATAATTCTTTATGTTTATCATATAAGCAACATGAATAAATGCCAACTTATGTTTCTTATTAGCTTATGAGAGAGCAGGACGTGTTAGGCCTACCCTTACAGTCCACACCTTTAAACCATTAGGGCAGGAGCAGTTTTTGAGTTCTGCCAATGACAGCACAGCCACTTCAGCTTCAACTTCAAAGAGTGGTTTGACTCAACTACAAGCTGAGAAGGAGATGTTTACTGAGCAGTTACCACAATTACCCAAACCACCTGTTCCTAAAAGGCAAGTATATTCATCACAATATTGTTATGGTACTGTTAGTTTGCCAAGTTAATGTAATTTTGCAAAGTGACTACTGATCTCTTTTTAATGTTATACTCTATAGTCACAATGTTTTTAATATTCTGCTGCATGATGACTTTGTTAGCATCATTGAACTGCATAGTCATCATCTTGGTGTAATGTTGTCTTGACGTCCCAGTGCTGTTGATCACCATGTTGAACTTACAATCCTCTAGTAATCTGTCTGGTGTTGCTCTCTTTTCTCATGTTAATCTTACTCCAGTACAAGATATTATATAGATGGTATTCTATATCAATGGTTTCAAAACTGTTTGTTGCAGTAAATTGCTAGGAGTTTTGTGAGAATTTCACAAAATTGCAAATAATTAAGAAATTAAAAAACTACAAAAGCATTATTGCATGTGGAAGCATGTTGATGTTACTCTAATGTAAAATGCTATCTTACTATGTGTTAATTTACCAATTTGATTTTCATTTACTATGTTTTAATCATGTAGATATTTATTTTACTGCATAGTTAGAGCTACCTGAATGTTAAGCTGCTTTATTATAAGCATATTCATGTTGTTATACTTTATAGTCATGTTATTAATGTTACTATGTTTTATGTTTCCTTTGTTAAAGATACAATAGTATAGAAATTGTAAAGGTAGCACACCATCTTGTAATGATAGAAATGTTCTAAAGATAGGCATAATTCAAATCTGTGACCTTTTTTCAAATGCATTAACCAAGTAAGCTTCCAAATCTAAAAAAAATGTATATATCAATTCTTATTTCATTTATTTATTGATTGGAAGAGCTTTTGAACTGTGCCAGTAAGTTTATAAATCCTAGCATCCATTTATATTCCTTATTTTTGGACATATAATTCTTTAACAAATCCAATGTTCTGAAGAAGTGAAAAATTAAAATTGAGATTGTGCAAACAAGATTTCTGATACAATATCTTACCTCTATTCACAAGTAGCTTTTCTCAACTTATACTTTCCTCTATATGCGCAAATGTTTGCTTGCCACTAGCCTTGATACTCCCACCTACCTTCACATATATTAATGTCACTAGCGGCCTCTCTTCTGCATAGTCCATAATCAATTCTCCTTTTTAGTGGAATATGGGAGTCCTTGCCACTTACCAGGTCCTAGCTGCTGGGGTGGTGGACCTTAAAGCCTTCCTCCTGAGTGTGCTCAATCCCACTCAGTTTAGAGTGAAGTGGTAGTGTTCTGCCAGTGTAAATGGCACTAATGCTCATCCTAATGTGGACCTAGTGTACAATTCCAGACACCGTCAAATTATGAACGATGCATTCTGTCAACATGCAATTCACCCCTCTGGCTGAGGCAACCTCCTTCCTACTGTCCTCTAGATGTCAGTCACGACAGGTATGGTGATGGTTGGAGCTGGCCCAGCCACATAACTCCTCATGTGTGTGGTCATATACCCTTCTCCTACTGCAGACTGGATGATACATTCCCAATGCCACCTGGTGACTAGAGATGCACCCCCACTTTGCTGTCTACCTTCAAACCATACTCCAGATGCTGGTTTTCAGTAGATATGGTGTTGGATGTGAGCACATGATGGTGCAGATCCTTGGTACAGAGGCTCATCTTTAATACCAGTTCCCATATACGAGGTGAAAGGTAGAGGACCCTCTTTCTACTGTGGGCCAAGATATCTCTATCTCGGTTTGAATGTTGTCGGTTGAGGTCGATCTTCCACTTACGGTCCGATGCACCCCAGCCACTCTACACCTGAGGTCTCTTAATTTCACACGTATATGGCAGGGTACCCTCATTCTACCATGGACTGAATGATACATTCTCAATGCTACCTTGTGATGAACTGTAGATGCACCTCCATTTCGCTGTCCACCTTTCTACCATCCCATGGGTGTCAGTTCTCAGCAGATATAGTGATAGTTATGTTGGATGTGCACACATAATGATGCAGGGGTCCCTCCTCTGATTCTGCAATTATTGTGACAAATTTTCACATGGGTGAAGAGTACACTTGGCTCAGGAGTGGTGCAGTATCCAATAGACTGTGGTGTTGCCTTCTCTTTATTTTCACACCCCATCTCACTGGACCCTCCCCCAACTCAGTGTGAGATTCTAGCTATTTATGAGAGTAGATAAGATATTGTATCAGAAGTTAACATTTTTCACACTGAAAATGTATTTCCGATAGATACTTACCCCCCCCCCCTTGCCTATTTCCACCCTGCCCTCCCACTTCTGGGGGCGGTTTTTTTTT